CATCAATAGAGAGAGCGACAGGGTGTAGGGTTACCTGGAGTGTGTGGTCCATCGTTATAATGGGCGAGATGTTGACTACCTCGCCTGGTTCACAGGTGGTCGTGGGTTCAATCCCGACCCTGACCGCTGCTGCTGCTGTGTATTTGGAGTTTGCGTCTCTCTCATCATCATCATCACGGTGGCTGTGAGATGTTGACTACCTCGCCTGGTACACAGGAGGTCGTGGGTTCGATCCCGACCCTGACCCCTGCTGCTGTATATTTGGAGTTTGCGTGTCTCTCTCATCATCATCACGGTGGCTGTGAGATGTTAACTACCTCGCCTGGTACACAGGAGGTCGTGGGTTCCATCCCGACCCTGACCCCTGACCCCTGCTGCTGTGTATTTGGAGTCTGTGTCTCTCTCATCATCATCACGGTGGCTGTGAGATGTTAACTACCTCGCCTGGTGTGCAGGAGGTCGTGGGTTCAATCCCGACCCTGACCCCTGCTGCTGTGTATTTGGAGTCTGTGTCTCTCTCATCATCATCACGGTGGCTGTGAGATGTTAACTACCTCGCCTGGTGTGCAGGAGGTCGTGGGTTCAATCCCGACCCTGACCCCTGCTGCTGTATATTTGGAGTTTGCGTGTCTCTCTCATCATCATCACGGTGGCTGTGAGATGTTAACTACCTCGCCTGGTGTGCAGGAGGTCGTGGGTTCGATCCCGACCCTGACCCCTGACCCCTGCTGCTGTGTATTTGTAGTTTGCGGCGTCTCTCTCCCCGTGGCCGCGTGGATTTTGTCTCCGCGTCCTGCGGAGTTTCCCCTCCACACTGAGAATCAACGTCAGCACCACGCGGTCTGGAGTCGTTTGGCTTCTGCTGTGGTTGTTCACATCACGATGGACGCTGTTGGTGGCCGTGAGCGGGAATCGAACCCGGGCGGGACGGGTCGGAAGTGCGCGCGCAGCGCTCACAGCTGCACACAAAGACAAAGGCCCCCCGTGTGGCCTCGACACGCTGTCGGGGCAAGTGCTGTTCGCGAGCAGCAGCAGCAGCCCATGCAGGCTGCCGGCACGGCGTGGCGCACACAGAGGGGGCGGGTGGCCAGCAACCACGCCCGGCCGCCTTTGTCTCTCTTCCGCGTCCACACAAAGGCCCACGGGCTCGTGCCGTGTCACCGACGGGTGTGTGGTGGCAAGAGGCGTCACGAGTCGCAGGACAACACCACAACAACACCACAACACCACAACAACAACACCACAACAACACCACAACAACACCACAACAACAACACCACCACAACAACACCACAACAACAACACCACCACAACAACACCACCACAACAACAACACCACAACAACAACACCACAACAACAACACCACAACAACAACACCACAACAACAACACCACAACAAAAACACCACAACAACAACACCACAATAACAACAATAACACCACAACAACACCACCACAATAACAACAATACCACAACAACAACACCACCACAACAACAACACCACCACAACAACAACACTACAACAACAACACCACTACAACAACAACACCACAACAACACCACCACAACAACAACACCACCACAACAACACAACAACACCACAACAACACCACAACAACAACACCACTACAACAACAACACCACCACCACAACAACACCACAACAACAACACCACCACAACAACACAACAACACCACAACAACACCACAACAACAACACCACCACAACAACACCACCACCACAACAACACCACCACAACAACAACACCACAACAACAACACCACAACAACACCCCCACAACAACACCACCACAACAACAACAACACCACCACCACCACAACAACACCACAACAACACCACCACAACAACAACACCACAACAACAACAACACCACCACCACAACACCACAACAACAACAACACCACAACAACAACACCACTACAACAACAACACCACAACAACAACAACAACACCACCACAACAACAGTAGCAGCAGCAGCTGTAAAGACACGAGTCTGCATCGTAGCCCCCGGTGGGAAGGGAGAGCGTTCCAGACGGCCGGTGGCCGCGTTTGTTCGATGGCGAGCCAAAAGTGTAGTGTGTAGTGTAGAATATAGTGTAATGTGGAGTGTAGTGTATAGTGTAGTGTATAGTGTAGTGTATAGTGTAGTGTATAGTGTAGTGTATAGTGTAGTGTGTAGTGTAGTGTAGTGGAGAATATAGTGTAATGTGGAGTGTAGTGTATAGTGTAGTGTATAGTGTAGTGTAGAATATAGTTTAATGTGGAGTGTAGTGTGTAGTGTAGTGTGTAGTGTAGTGTAAAGTGTAGTGTGTAGTGTATTGTATAGTGTAGTGTATAGTAGTATAGTAGTGTAGTGTATAGTGTAGTGCAGAATATAGTGTAGTGTATAGTAGTATAGTAGTGTATAGTGGTGTAGTGTATAGTGTAGTGTATAGTAGTGTAGAGTGTAGTGTAGAATATAGTGTATATAGTGTAGTGTAGAATATAGTGTAGTGTATAGTGTAGTGTGTAATGTAGTGTATATAGTGTAGTGTATAGTAGTGTATAGTGTAGTGTATAGTGTAGTGTATAGTGTAGTGTATAGTAGTGTATAGTGTAGTGTATAGTGTAGTGTGTAATGTAGTGTATATAGTGTAGTGTATAGTAGTGTAGTGTATAGTGTAGTGTATAGTGTAGTGTATAGTGTAGTGTTTAGTAGTGTATAGTGTAGAGAGAGGAGCCTGCAGTGCTCCAAGCAACTATTCTACGTGGACCTGCAGGGCCTCCCACTGGGACAGCTGCCACCCTTCTACAGGAGCGTCCTGCAGACACGGAGCTCCCTCGCCGTCAGGAGGCTGAACCAGCCGCGATCGGCCGAGGATCTGGTCTTCGAACCGATCCTCAGGAACCCGCAGACAAAGCGCTGCCATCCACCACCACCGCCACCCCAGGCATGGAGAGGCGCCTCGCCAACGCGCGGCTCACCAGGACGGGAGATCTGGTGGAGCCTGGAACACGGGGCCGGTGGCTCGGACCAGCAGACATGGCCACAAAGACAGGGGGGCTGCAGTCGCTCCGGGTGGCCGCCCGGATCCTGGCCGAAGCCAAGGGGGCCTTCTCAGCGGCAGCGGCGGGGAGAACGCCACCCCCATCGGCGTTGGGGATGACGAGGCCCCTCTCGGTCCCCCTCCACCGGAGCTCTCAGTCGTGCCACTGCGTCGCCAATGCCGACAAACGAAGGCGGATCACAACCTGTGCCGGCTAGAAGACCTGCCGGAGGTGGCCTTCGCGAACGTCAAGAGGAAGGTGCTCTACTCCTACATGGTCCGGTTCCACCAACAGGACACCCTGAGGAGCCACAAGGACCCTGCCTGGAGGAGAGCCCCTAGCCCTGCGTCTCTCCGGAGAGGCCTCGCTGGAGGCAACTCTACTCCAGACCGACGTACGACCGCATCGGCGACCTCAGCTGGAGCATCGCCCACGGCACCGTCACCACCGACGTCTCCCCGGCGCGCTTCACCGACACGTCCCCGGAGTGCCGGTTCTGCGGTAAAGCGTAGACGGTGGCGCACCAATACGTGGAGTGCAAGAGCCTGGACTCGCTGTTCAAGGTCCTGAGAAACATCCTCCTAAGGTTCAGCCTCCACTTCTCCCTGACGGTCCTCATCTTTGTATACCCGAAGGGCGACGGACCCCAACATCTTCAGGGGCCGGTCAAGGTGCTCTTAGGCTACGCCAAGCTCGCCGTATACAGGGCGAGGAAGGTGGCCCTGGAGGGGCAACGTCCGGCCACCAGCCTGGGCATCTCCCGCGCTCTGGTCGGAGCCAGGGAGTGTGGGCCGGAGTTCCGCCACGCGCGGCTGACCCACGCCGTGCCGGCCTTCAAGGAGCAGTGGGCGCTGGAGGAGGCCGTGTGCTCGGTGGCAGATGACGGTAGAGAGCTCTGTGTGGAGTTGTGAGCTACCCGTCGGAGGCCGTAGGACTGTGGGAAGGGCTGAGTGCAGATGCAGCACTTGTCGTAGTTATATAAAAAAAGAGAGAGAGCGAGAGAGTGAGCGAGAGAGAGCGAAATGGAGTAGGATGAGAGGGGGCAGAGAGAGAGAGAGGGGGGGTAGAGAGGGGGGTAGAGAGAGAGGGGGGGTAGAGAGAGAGGGGGGTAGAGAGAGAGGGGGGGCAGAGAGAGAGGGGGGCAGAGAGGGAGGTAGAGAGGGGGGTAGAGAGAGAGGGGGGGCAGAGAGAGAGGGGGGTAGAGAGAGAGAGGGGGAAGGGGAAAGGAGAAAAAAAGAAAAAAATATTTTGTTGGGTCTCTCATTTAAAAGAGGGGGGAGGGGGGGGGGTTACATAAAGCAAAGCATAAAAAACTAAAAAAACCGAAATGATGAACGGAGCAAAGTGCCGACTACACCGAGCATCTTCTTGTTTCCCCTGATCGTAAAACAAGAGAGAGGGAGGGGAGAGAGGAGGGGAGAGAGGGAGGGGAGAGAGGAGGGGAGAGAGGAGGGGAGAGGTAAAGGGAGGGGAGGGGACGTGGAAAGGAGAGGTCGGGGGCGAGAGGGAGTGGGAGAGAGGAGAAGATGCAGAGAGGGCGAGGGGGGGAGGGAGGAGAGGGGGAGGAAGGAGAGGGGGAGGGGGGGAGGAGAGGGAGGAGAGGGGGAGGGAAGAGAGGGAGGAGAGGGACGAGAGGGAGGGAGGGGAGGGAGGAGAGGGGGAGGGAGGAGAGGGAGGAGAGGGAGGGAGGAGAGGGGGGAGAGGGAGGGACGAGAGGGAGGGAGGAGAGGGAGGAGAGGGACGAGAGAGAGAGGGAGGAAGAGGGGGAGGGAGGGGAGGGACGAGAGGGGGAGGGAGCGAGGGGGAGGGAGCGAGACGGAGGCAGCGAGGGAGGAGGGGGAGGCGTGAGAGCGTTAATTTGAGAGCGAGAGAGAGAGATGGGGGGGGGAGGAGCGAGAGACGAGGAGCGAGAGAGGGAACGAGGAGCGCAGTGGACGCGACGAGGTGAGGAGCCAAACGCACGCGCGCACAGACAAAGGTCCCCCGTGTAGCCTGCGGCGGGCTGCAGGGGGCAAGGGCTGTGAGCGAGCGGCCGCCTTTGTATCCCCGGTCGCTGACGATTGCGTTGTACGCACGACTGAGCGGTGGGGATTCCCAGTGGCGAGCGGTGCTCGGCACCGATCCTCGGCACCGATCCTCCGCCTTCTGGGTCGACTCAGCCTTAAATTGGTACAGTATCTGATTGTGGTGTGGCGCACACACAGACACACGCCCATACACCCACACACATACACACACGCACACCCACACAGCACGCACAGACACACACACACGCGCACACACACGCACATACAAAGATCCCCCGTGTAGCCTTAACAGCCTCTCGGGGCAAGTGCTGTTAGCGAGCAGTATCGCGCCTTTGTCTCTACACAGCGGCGATGTTTACTGCTCACACCGCACCAGGTACTCGTTTCAGGCTGAGTCGACCTAAGGGAGGCTCAGGACCGCTTCAGATAATCGTCAGCGGTGTTGGCCGTGAGCGGGAATTGAACCTGGGTCGCCGGGTTCGTAGCGCAGCGTAGCGCTAACCACTACACCACCGCTCTCCCATACAGGTGTACACACACACACCCCAGTGTACACACACACAGTGTACACACACACACAGGTGTACACACACACACAGGTGTACACACACAGGTTCACACACAGGTTCACACACAAAGATCCCCCATATAGCCTGTAACCGACTGTAGGGGCAAGTGCTGTTAGCGAGCACCTATGAAGGCCCGAACGGTACACGAGGGGGTGGGTGGCCAGCACCACGCCCGACCGCCTTTGTCTCCCAAGTGGCGATGTTTACACATCGCACCAGGTACTCATTTGAGGCTGAGTCGACCTGGGGGAGGCCCGGGACCGGTTCAGATAATCGTCACTGGTGTTGGCCGTGAGCGGGAATCGAACCCGGGTAGCAAGGTTCATAGCGCAGCGTAGCGCTAACCGCTACACTATCGCTCACACACACTTACACACCTACACAGGCATGCACGTGGACGTGCACACGAGGTCATGCACATAAACAAGCACACACATGCCTAAACATACCCACTGCCTACTCAAGTTACACACACACAGGTTCACACACACACAGGTTCACACACACACAGGTACACACACACACAGGTACACACACACACAGTGTACACACACACAGGTACACACACACACAGGTACACACACACACACAGGTACACACACAGTGTACACACACAGGTACACACACACACAGGTACACACAGGTTCACACACATACACAGGTACACAGTGTACACACACAGTGTACACACACAGGTTCACACACACACACACAGGTTCACATACACACAGGTACACACACACAGGTACACACACAGTGTTCACACACACAGTGTTCACACACACAAACACACACACAGGTGTTCACACACACAGGTACACACACAGTGTTCACACACACAGGTACACACACACAGTGTTCACACACACAAACACACACACACAGGTGTTCACACACACAGTGTTCACACACACAGTGTACACACACACACAGTGTACACACACACAGGTACACACACACACAGGTACACACACACACAGGTACACACACACAGTGTATACACACACAGGTACACACACACAGGTGTACACACACACAGTGTACACACACACACAGGTACACACAGGTTCACACACACACACAGGTACACACACACAGTGTTCACACACACACAGTGTTCACACACACACAGGTACACACATAGTGTACACACACACAGTGTACTCACACACACACACAGGTACACACACACAGTGTTCACACACACACACAGTGTTCACACACACACAGGTACAAACACACAGGTGTTCACACACACAGTGTTCACACACACACAGGTTCACACACACACAGGTTCACACACACACAGTGTACACACACACACACAGGTACACACACACAGGTACACACACACAGTGTTCACACACACACAGGTACACACACAGGTGTTCACACACACACAGGTGTTCACACACACACAGTGTTCACACACACACAGGTACACACACACACAGTGTACACACACACACACAGGTGTTCACACACACAGTGTTCACACACACAGTGTACACACACACACAGTGTACACACACACAGGTACACACACACAGTGTATACACACACAGGTACACACACACACAGGTGTACACACACACAGTGTACACACACACACACACAGGTACACACAGGCTCACACACACACACACACAGGTACACACACACACACAGGTACACACACACACACAGGTACACACACAGGTACACACACACACAGGTACACACACACAGTGTTCACACACACACAGGTTCACACACACACAGGTTCACACACACAGTGTACACACACAGTGTACACACACACAGTGTACACACACACACGTGTACACACACACACACACGTGTACACACACACACACAGGTACACACACACACACAGTGTTCACACACACGCGGTGTTGTTATGGACACGGGACCTGCTAAGCGTTGTTGTTGTGATAACGATGAATGGCCCGTCGCCCGAACCGTCGCGTGCTGAGTGACTAAAAGTGAAAGCTGCACCACGGGCGACGTTTCGCACCCCACCACCAAACCACGGCGAGAGCTGTAACGGAGAGGCGGGTCTCTCTCTGCAGCCACCACAGACACGCACAAAGCTCCCCCAGGAAGCCTCTGGGCAGGCGGCTGGGTGGGTGGGCAGCGCCACGCGCGCCCGGCCGCCTTTGTCTTCCCGGTGGCGATAGTTTCGCTGCGCGCCGTTTGAGGCCGAGTGGACCTAGGGGAAGGCCGAGGGCGTCGATCGCGAACCGATTCCCGCTCGCCAAACGCCAGCGGTGCCGGTTATCTGAATCGGCGCCGGACCTCCCCTAGGTCGACTCGGCCATGAATGCGGAGCGCGCTTACCTGGTGCTGTGTGTCGTGGACATCGGCTTTGGGGGAGACAAAGGCGGCCGGGCGTGGGGGTGCTGGCCAGACCGCCCCCTCGCGTGTCATGCCCCAGCAGCACTTGCCCCAGCAGCCCGCGAAGGGCTGTACGGGGGATCTTTGTCTTTGTGTGTATAATTGTGTTTCGTCAAATTCACTGCTGGATGAGACCCCCCCCTCCTCCTCGTCGTGTGGATCGTGGGGGTGATTGACCATACTTCACCACGAGGTGATTGACCATTCTTTACCACGGGGTGATTGACCATACTTCACCACGGGGGTGATTGACCATACTTCACCACGGGGTGATTGACCATACTTCACCACGGGGTGATTGACCATACTTCACCACGGGGTGATTGACCATACTTCACCACGGGGTGATTGACCATACTTCACCACGGGGGTGATTGACCATACTTCACCACGAGGTGATTGACCATACTTCACCACGGGGTGATTGACCATACTTCACCACGAGGTGATTGACCATACTTCACCACGAGGTGATTGACCATACTTCACCACGGGGTGATTGACCATACTTCACCACGGGGTGATTGACCATACTTCACCACGGGGTGTTTGACTATACTTGACCACGGGGTGATTGACCATACTTCACCACGGGGTGATTGACCATACTTCACCACGGGGTGATTGGCCATACTTCACCACGGGGGTGATTGACCATACTTCACCACGGGGTGATTGACCATACTTCACCACGAGGTGATTGACCATACTTCACCACGAGGTGATTGACCATACTTCACCACGGGGTGATTGACCATACTTCACCACGGGGTGATTGACCATACTTCACCACGGGGTGATTGACCATACTTCACCACGGGGGTGATTGACCATACTTCACCACGGGGGTGATTGACCATACTTCACCACGGGGTGATTGACCATACTTCACCACGGGGTGATTGACCATACTTCACCACGGGGTGATTGACCATACTTCACCACGGGGTGATTGACCATACTTCACCACGGGGTGATTGACCATACTTCACCACGGGGTGTTTGACTATACTTGACCACGGGGTGATTGACCATACTTCACCACGGGGTGATTGACCATACTTCACCACGGGGTGATTGGCCATACTTCACCACGGGGGTGATTGACCATACTTCACCACGGGGTGATTGACCATACTTCACCACGGGGTGATTGACCATTCTTCACCACGGGGTGATTGACCATACTTCACCACGGGGTGTTTGACCATACTTCACCACGAGGGTGATTGACCATACTTCACCACGGGGTGATTGACCATACTTCACCACGGGGTGATTGACCATACTTCACCACGGGGTGTTTGACCATACTTCACCACGGGGGTGATTGACCATACTTCACCACGGGGGTGATTGACCATACTTCACCACGGGGTGATTGACCATACTTCACCACGGGGTGATTGACCATACTTCACCACGGGGTGTTTGACCATGCTTCACCACGGGGTGTTTGACCATACTTCACCACGGGGTGATTGACCATACTTCACCACGGGGTGATTGACCATACTTCACCACGAGGTGATTGACCATACTTCACCACGGGGTGATTGACCATACTTCACCACGGGGTGTTTGACCATCCTTCACCACGGGGTGATTGACCATACTTCACCACGGGGGTGTTTGACCATACTTCACCACGGGGTGATTGACCATACTTCACCACGGGGTGATTGACCATGCTTCACCACGGGGTGATTGACCATACTTCACCACGGGGTGTTTGACCATACTTCACCACGAGGTGATTGACCATACTTCACCACGGGGTGATTGACCATACTTCACCACGGGGTGATTGACCATACTTCACCACGCCTCAGGCGCCCGGTTCGGTTCGCAGAGCAGTGTGCAGTGCCCTAACCACTGCGCCACCGCTCCCCCGATGTCTACAGTCTGCGCGTGATTGCGTGTGTGTGATTGTGTGTATGTGTTTTTGTGTGTGATTGTGTGTGTGTGTGATTGTGTGTGTGATTGTGTGTGCGTGATTGTGTGTGTGATTGTGTGTGTGTGAACCTGTGTGTGTGTGTACACTGTGTGTGTGTGTACACTGTGTGTGTGTACCTGTGTGTGTGTGTGAACCTGTGTGTGTATGTGTGAACCTGTGTGTGTGTATGTGTGAACCTGTGTGTGTGTATGTGTGTCAGTGTGTGCGGTGGGGAGCGGTAGTGTAGCGGTTAGCGCTACGCTGCGCTATGAACCTGGCAACCCGGGTTCGATTCTCGCTCACGGCCAACACCAGTGACGATTATCTGAACCGGTCCCGGGCCTCCACTAGGTAGACTCAGCACCAAATGAGTACCTGGTGCGGTGTCTAAACATCGTCACTGGGGAGACAAAGGCGGTCGGGCGTGGTGCTGGCCACCTACCCCCTCGTGTACCGTTCCGGCCTTCATAGGTGCTTGCTAACAGCACTTGCCCCTACAGTCTGTTAAGGCTATATGGGGGATCTTTGTTTTTGGCTTTATCTTTGTGTGTGTGTGCGCGTGATTGTGTGTGTGTGATTGCGTGTGCGTGATTGTGTGTGTGATTGAGTGTGCGTGATTGTGTGCGTGATTTTGTGTGCGTGATTGCGTGTGCGTGATTGTGTGCGTGATTGTGTGCGTGATTGTGTGTGTGATTGCGTGAATGCGTGTGCGTGATTGTGTGCGTGATTGTGTGCGTGATTGTGTGTGTGATTTCGTGTGCTTGATTGTGTCTGTGATTGCGTGAATGCGCGTGCGTGATTGTGTGCGTGTGCGTGATTGTGTGTGTGTATTGTACAAACATCAGCGCTGGGGAAACAAAGACGGCTGGGCGAAGTGGTGGTGGTGGTGCACGGCAGCCCACCCCCTCGTGCGCTTTCACACCACTTGCCCCAGCAGCTTGGTAAAGGCTACACGGGGGGGCTTTGTCTGTGTGCGTGATTGTGTGTGTATGTGTGTGTGAGTCTTTGTCTTGTATGTGTGTGTGTATGCGTGTGTATATGTGTGTGTGCTGGGGAGCGATAGTGTAGCGGTTAGCGCGCTGCGCTATAAACCTGGCGACCCGGGTTCGATTCCCGCGCTGCGCTATAAACCTGGCGACCCGGGTTCGATTCCCGCTTACGGCCAACACCAGTGACGATGATCTGAACCGGTCCCGGGCCTCCCCTAGGTCGACTCAGCCTCAAATGAGTACCTGGTGCGGTGTGTAAACATTGCCACTAGGGAGACAAAGGCGGTCGGGCGTGGTGCTGGCCACCCACCCCCTCGTGTACCGTTCCGGCCTTCAAAGGTGCTCGCTAACAGCACTTGCCCCTACAGTCTGTTAAGGCTATATGGGGGATCTTTGTCTTTTGTGCTGAACCTGGAGCTTGCCACCAAGAGATGGGGCCTTACCATCAGCCCCACCAAAACTAAGCACCTGCCTGGGTATTTTGTACCATCGGACACTCCACCCCCACAACTCCCAATCGGTGATGGGGCAGTTGTGGAGAGAGTGGAGAGTTTCCCATACCTGGGCAGTGTGCTTATGATCGGCTCCAGTTTAACAGCAGAGGTCTCACTCCGAATCAGTCGAGCGGCAATATCTTTTCATCGGTTGCGTAACGCTGTGTGGAAGCTACCTGGTCTGTCGCTGCGCACTAAGCTTCAGGTCTTCTCGGCCACGGTCATTCCCTCCCTTCTCTACGCTTGCGAAACGTGGACCCTCTTAATAGAACATCTTCGCCGGTTAGAAACAGTTAGGCTAGCCTGTCTACGATCCATCCTGGGTTTAACCAGGCTGGATTGTGTGAGCTCACAAATCCTTGAAAGATCTGGGCAAGGTCCCATCGGTGAGCTCCTCCGGCGGGCAAGGCTGCGTTGGCTGGGTCATGTAGCCCGCATGCCCAGCCACCGCATGCCGAAACAGCTTTTGTTCGGCCGGATCGAGGGGGCTAAACGGGCGCGGCACGGGCTAGAGAAGAAATGGAGTGATGTGGTACAGGAGGACGTGGAGCTGAGTGGACTTGCCGATGACTGGTACCAGCGGTGTCAAGATCGGCCTCTGTGGAGGAGGCTCGTGAAGGACGCTACTGGGCAGTTGGAGGCAGTCGCCCTCCAACAACAACGGAGGGCGGAGGAGCGACGCTCACAACAACGAGCGGAGCGCCGGGTGGCTAAAGCACAGCAGGTTGGCACAGTAGGGGGCACAGGTGGTGCATCAGCCAGTCATCTCAGTCATCTTAGTCAGTCGACCCGTGGCACTTGGGTCTGCCCCGTGACCTTCTGCCCGCGGGCGTTCGACACTTCACGTGGCCTCAAGGTGCACATGGCCTGGCACAAGCGTCGTGGTGACGTCACCGCCACTTAGTGGCGAATGGCGGTTGTTGTTGTGTAGGTGTGTGTGTATGTGTATGTGTGTCTGTGTGTGTTTTGTGTGTTATCTCTCACGGGGATAATCCCGTGAGATGGGAACATCTCGGTTCGTCAAGAGACGCTCCAGGGTTGTGTAAGAGGCGCGGTGTCTATGAGATGTTAACTACCTCGCCTGGTATACAGGAGGGTCGTGGGTTCGATCCCGACCCTGACGCTTGCTACTGCTGCTGTATATTTGGAGTTTGCGTCTCGCTCTCTCCCCGTGGTCGTGTGGATTTGTCTCCGGGTCCTCCGGTTTACCCCTCGACTTAAACATCACTACACGTGTGTAACGACTATGACATCACTCCACGTGTGTAACGACTATGACATCACTCCACGCGACTATGACATCACTCCACGTGTGTAACGACTATGACATCACTCCACGCGACTATAACATCACTCCACGTGTGTAACGACTATGACATCACTCCACGTGTGTAACGACTATGACATCACTCCACGCGACTATAACATCACTCCACGTGTGTAACGATTATGACATCACTCCACGTGTGTAACGACTATGACATCACTCCACGTGTGTAACGACTATGACATCACTCCACGCAATGATGACGATGATGAGGAGCTGCTTTCTTTGAGCTCTGGTTTGTGATTGCCAGGTCGCTCCTGACAAAGAGCGACACAGAATCTCAGTCGTGGGGTAACAATCTAAAATATCAAATAGTTCAGATGGGTTAGGGGAGTGGTGGCGCAGCGGTTAGCGCTGCTCTACGAACCCGGCGACCCGAGTCCGATTCCCGCCCACGGCCACCAACACCCGTGACGATTCTCTGAACCGGTCCTGGGCCTCCCCTAGGTCGACTCAGCGTCAAATGGGTACCTGGTGTAGCGGTGTGTGTAGTAAACATCGTCACTGGGGAGACAAAGGCGGTCGTGTGCGGCGGTGTTGGTCACCCTACCCTAACTCGCTGACAGCACTTGCCCCAACAGCCTGTTGAAGGCTATACGGGGGATCTTTGTCCATGCTATGTATGGCTATGGGAAGAGCGGTGGCACAATGGTTACCGCACCCAATCTCACCCACACCCTGACCCTTGTGTTCGCAGACGAGAAAAGAAAACACAAACCTCTGCCTCCACCAAGACAGAAGCAATAATAATAATATTATTAACCTCATTAGCATACATACATTAACATATCAATTAACATCACTAATCGTAAGAGCGATTGTATATCGTAGTTATGATAGGCTATAAGAATACGATATAAACATAACCATTGCATATGATAGTTACTTTACGCAGATTGTAAGACCCCTCCCCAACCGTAATTTTAACAGACGGTAACACGCAGATACACACACAGACATACACAGACACAGATACACACAGACACACACACAAACACACACAGACACACACAGACACACACACACAGACACACACAGATACACAGACACAGATACACACAGCCACACACACAAACAGAAACACACAGACACACACAGATACACAGACACACACACAAACACACACAGACACACACAGATACACACAGACAGACAGATACACACAGACACACACAGATACAGACACACACACACAAACACACAGACACACAGATACACACACACAGATACACACAGACACACACAGATACACAGACACACAGATACACAGACACACACAGATACACACACAGATACACACACAGACACACAATTACATAGGCACACACACAGACACACACACACGGACACACAGATACACACACACAGATACACACACACACAGATACACACACAGATACACACAGACACACACACAAACACACAGATACACACACACACAGACGCACACAGACACACACACAGATACACACACAGACGCACACACAGAAACACACACTTACACATATACATACACACAAACACAGAGACACACATACACACAAAGACACACAGACATACACACAGACACACATACAGACACAGAGGCACACGTACATACACACACAGACACATACATACACACATAAACACAGAGACACCCAGACACACACACACAGACACATACATACACACATAAACACAGAGACACACATACACACAGAGACACACAGACATACACACAGACACACATACACACAGAGACACACATACATACACACAGACACATACATACACACATAAACACAGAGGCACCCAGACACACACACACAGACACATACATACACATACACACATACACACATAAACACATACACACAGAGACACACAGACATACACACAGACATACATACACACACAGAGACACACATACATACACACACAGACACATACATACACACATAAACACAGAGACACACATAAACACAGAGACACACAGACACACACATAACAACATCAACATCAGGACCAAAAGCGGAAGTCTTCGGAGCGTCCGAAACGTTTAGACAGCCAGCAGCAAAGTCGACCTCCAGAACAGTGAACCGTGCCATCGTGAGGACCGCGGCAAGCCCACGGGCCGAGATGGTGGCGATGGTGAGGATCGCGGTGATGGTGAGGATCGCAGCGATGGTGAGGATCACAGCGATGATGAGGATCGCGGCGGTGGTGGTGGCGGCGGTGGTGGCGATGTTGAGCGGACGTGGCCATGGAGCGTCCCAGCTCAATGAAGGTAAAAGATTCTTAAAACGCCCTTCAGAGACATCTTGTGTCTCAATGTCCTGGTCTCAGTGTCCTGGTCTCAGTGTCCTGGTCTCTGGTCTCAGTGTCCTGGTCTCAGTGTCCTGGTCTCAATGTCCTGGTCTCAGTGTCCTGGTCTCAGTGTCCTGGTCTCAATGTCCTGGTCTCAGTGGCCTGGTCTCTGGTCTCAGTGTCATGGTCTCAGTGTCCTGGTCTCAGTGTCCTGGTCTCAATGTCCTCGTCTCAATGTCCTGGTCTCAATGTCCTGGTCTCAGTGTCCTGGTCTCTGTCTCCTGGTCTCAGTGTCCTGGTCTCTGGTCTCAGTGTCCTGGTCTCAATGTCCTGGTCTCAGTGGCCTGGTCTCTGGTCTCAGTGTCATGGTCTCAGTGTCCAGGTCTCAGTGTCCTGGTCTCAGTGTCCTGGTCTCAATGTCCTGGCTCTCGCCGCTGCTGCTGTGCTGCACACAAACACACAAACACATCAACACATGAGCACACCAACACACAAACACACAAACACACAAACAACAACAACAACCGCCATTCGCCACTAAGTGGCAGTGATGTCACCACGACGCTTGTGCCAGGACATGTGCACCTTGAGGCCACGTGGAGTGTCGAACGCCCGCTGGAAGGAGGTCACGGGGCAGACGCAAGTGCCACAGGTCGACTGACTGAGATGACTGAGATGACTGGCTGATGCACCACCTGTGCCCCCTACTGTGCCAACCTGCTGTGCTTTAGCCACCCGGCGCTCCGCTCGTTGTTGTGAGCGTCGCTCCTCCGCCCTCCGTTGTTGTTGGAGGGCGACTGCCTCCAACTGCCCAGTAGCATCCTTCACGAGCCTCCTCCACAGAGGCCGATCTTGACACCGCTGGTACCAGTCATCGGCAAGTCCACTCAGCTCCACGTCCTCCTGTACCACATCACTCCATCTCTTCTCTAGCCCGTGCCGCGCCCGCTTAGCCCCCTCAATCCGGCCAAACAAAAGCTGTTTTGGCATGCGGTGGCTGGGCATGCGGGCTACATGACCCAGCCATCGCAGCCTTGCCTGCCGGAGGAGCTCACCGATGGGACCCTGCCCAGATCTTTCAAGGATTTGTGAGCTCCTCACACAATCCATTCTGGTTAAACCCAGGATGGATCGTAAGCAGGCCAGCCTAAATGTTTCTAACCGGCGAAGATGTTCCATTAGGGGGGTCCACGTTTCGCAAGCGTAGAGAAGGGAGGGAATGACCGTGGCCGAGAAGACCTGAAGCTTAGTGCGGAGCGACAGACCAGGTAGCTTCCACACAGCGTTACGCAACCGATGAAAAGATATTGCCGCTCGACTGATTCGGAGTGAGACCTCTGCTGTTAAACTGGAGCCAGTCATAAGCACACTGCCCAGGTATGGGAAACTCTCCACTCTCTCCACAACTGCCCCATCACCGATTGGGAGTTGTGGGGGTGGAGTGTCCGATGGTACAAAATACCCAGGCAGGTGCTTAGTTTTGGTGGGGCTGATGGTAAGGCCCCACCTCTTAGTGGCACGCTCCAGTCTCAGCAGCAGTGTCTCCAACTCCTCCTCTGACTGAGCAGCTATTACCAAATCATCAGCATACATAACGTGGTTGAGCAATAGGGAGCCATCCCTTGACCGCACCCGGGCATCGATTAGCCTCCCATTATATCTGTACCATATGGAGATTCCCCCGGTACAGCTATTGAAGGCTTCACGAACTACGTGGTCAAAATAGATGTTAAATAATGTGGGAGCCAGAGGACATCCCTGTCGCACCCCAAGGTGTACAGGGAATGGCTCTGACTCCCGGCCACGTAGTTTTACCCGGGCCCGCTCACCATCATGAAGGTCCTTAATGATCGTGAGCAGAGGGTCAGGTACTCCAAAAGCACGCAGAACGACCCCGAGCCCAGGCCTACTGATGGTATCATAGGCCTTGACCAGGTCAATAAAGCAGAGATGTAGGTCTTGTTGGAATTCCCTACACCTCTGCTGTAGCAGACGGACAGGAAATATGGCATCTGTGCAGGACCGCCCTTTCCTGAAACCGCATTGGGGCTCCGCAAGCCTCTCCTCAGCGTGCCTGGCAAGGCGATGCTGAATAATCCTTGCCAGGACCTTTCCCGGCACACTGAGGAGTGAGATGCCCCTGTAGTTGTTACAGTCTGTGCGGTCCCCCTTCTTAAAACGGGGGACCACCAGGGCATCCTTCCAATCCTGCAGAACTCGTCCAGTGGTCCAGACTGTTGTTATGATGTCATATAGGGCAGTCTGTGCACAAACGCCACCGTCCCTCAGCATTTCGCTTGGGAGATCATCTCTGCCCGCTGCCTTTCCTGGTCTCAGACTCCGGATCGCCTTCAATACTTCCTCAGCAGATGGCACCTCACCCAGCCACTCACAGGGGGTGACTTCTTCCAATATTTGAGGCACCGCAGCCTCAGCAGGGTCATCCTCACTTTGTGCCACGATGTTTTCCTGGCTGAGGGATTTTCCCTCCCCCAGGACCTCACAGAAATGCTCAGCAAATCTGCGAACCTGTTCCTGGCGGTCGGAGATTGGATCACCGTTTTTTCCCCTAATGATGGTAATAGGTGTGGCGCTGCAGGTTACTTTTTTGATGGAGTTAAATAGAGATTTGTGATCACGGGCCACTGAGGCAGACTCCATCTCCTCAGCAACCCGCGACCACCACCCATCCTTGCAGCGCCTCACGGCTCTCTGAACCTCCGAGCGAAGGCTGCGGTAAGCCTCCTCATTCTCTGACGTGAGATTCTGTAGCCGATGACAGTGGGCCTGTCGCTTTTTCTCAACCATCCTGAACACCTCCTCTGTCAGCCAGGATCTCTGGGGAGGTCTGGACCACGTACCCAAAGCAGCCATTGCAGCTGCATGAGTCACAGTCCTAAACCTCGCCCATTTACCCTCGACATCAGGAGGAGTCGGGGACGATGCCAATCCCAGCCGCAAGCGATGATGAAATTCTCGCTTGCAACTTTCATCAGATAACTGAGACCAGGCCACTTTATGTTGGAATGGGGTCCTGGGTGTACACCCACCACCGGAGTGGAAGAATGGCAGGCGCATCTTACAGATGACTAGTCAATGGTCAGAGGGCAGATCAGCTCCACGGTAGGTCCTGGTGTCAAGGACATGGGCTCGCATTCGCTGGTCCGTCACTATGTAGTCCGGCAGATGTTCTTGCTTGGACCCGGCATGCATCCATGATGTTGTGTGGATGCGCCGATGCCGGAACAGCGTGTTGGTAATTACAAGCCCATGGGCTGCACAAAAATCTAGCAGCCTCCTACCGTTGTTATTGAGCTGATCTGGCCCATGCCCTCCAATCACTCCAGACCAGGTGTCAGTATCATGACCAACTCGGGCATTGAAGTCACCCAACATGATGACTCTATCCCGAGGGGCCACTTTAGCCAGCACCTGTGACAGGAGGTCATAGAAGGCATCTGACTCATCGGCTTTGCCTGCATCCCTCCACGGATGTTCATCTTCGGTGGGGGCATAAGTAACCACGACCACCATTCCTCGCCTCCGGTTGATGGGAAGGCGAGCCCAAAGTAGCCTGGGGCTTACAGCTTCCCACACCTCGCCGCCACGCTCCCACGCCCCCTTCATTCTTTTGTTCAAAAGAAGACCCACACCCTGTTGTTTGGCAGTCTGCTGCCCCGAGTAGAGGACTGTCCACCCCTCATGGTGGCAGGAGCCAGAGCCGGTCCACCGGACCTCCTGAATGCCGCATAGATCCAGGCGGTACCGGTCCAGCTCCCGACAGAGGAGTGGCAGCCTCTCCTCTGCAGTGAGCGTTCGAACATTCCACGTGGCCACCCGTAGTGGCTTTTCGTTGTTTCTGGAGTAGCCCCGAGGGTAGGTATTCAATCTCCTGGCTCCGCCAATTGGGGTTTGGCCAGGAGACGTCATAGACGCCTGGCCCCCCGGGGCCTCCGGCACAAGCTTATTAGTTACATATTTCAGTTTAACTCGTGGTTTCGTGGTAATTAATTGAAGGTGGAGGGGTTACCAGCCCCTCGCACCCGTCCAGAGCCCCCGTTTAGCCCCTGTGGTGGACACATATGCCATGAGGGGAGGAGCCAATCAAAATTGGATCTCCCCCCACAGCACTGTCCACGACAGAGTTGCCCGTCCGGCACCGCGAGGAGGTAGGGGGTTCTTTTGCCGGACACACACACATAGACACACACATACACACACACATAGACACACACACATAGGCACACACATATACACACACATAGACACACACACATAGACACACACACATAGACACACACATAGACACACACACATAGACACAACAACCGCCATTCGCCACTAAGTGGCGGTGACGTCACCACGACGCTTGTGCCAGGCTATGTGCACCCTGAGGCCACGTGAAGTGTCGAACGCCCGCTGGCAGGAGGTCACGGGGCAGACCCAGGTGCCACGGGTCGATTGACTGAGATGACTGGCTGATGCACCACCTGTGCCCCCTACTGTGCCAACACACGCACACACATAGACACACACACATAGACACACACATAGACACACACACATAGACACACACACATAGACACACACATAGACACACACACACATAGACACACACAGAAGTACGATTGTAACAATCACTGTGACGTCGTGGTGTGTGCGTGCCCCTCCGTGGTGTGGTGCGTCCTTGTCAGTGGACCTTCTCAACACGATGTCGGGACACAAAGACCAGGGCTGGACAACCTATCCCGACAATGGT